ACTAATAGGAAGAAATTAATTAAACTTTTTTTTTAACTTTTAGATTTTTATGTCTGAAGCTGGGAAAATAAGCCAGAAGATTAAAGTGTGGTTTAGTGATTACTTCAATATCACTGATACAATTGCAATAATTTCTTTCTTCATTGGATTTGGACTAAGATTAGGAGCAAAAGGGAACTTTGAATATGATTATAAGAATCAAATTTTTGTTGCTGGAAGATTAATTTACTGTCTTAACATAATATTTTGGTATGTGCGTTTGCTAGATTTTCTAGCTGTAAATCAACACGCAGGACCTTATGTAATGATGATTGGGAAAATGGTAAGTTGAGTGACATCTGATAAAATGCATTTGTTTATTGTATTTTTATCCCCTTAAAGTTAAAAAAAACCCATTATTAACATTGTTTTACTATTATTTCATATTTTCTTCAAAATCTTAAATCTACTGTTCTGTGAAAGTATTAACTCTTTTTTTTAAATTTTGTTTGATTTTTGGGGTTTTGTTTGGTTTTTTTTAAATTTACTATTAATTTCAATGAGAATTTACAGAGACTGGATTTCCAAACCTTCATTGTTGCACTTTTCTCCTCACCCAACCCTCCCCTCCCCCCAGTACATTACCCTCTTGGAAAAGTAAAAGAAAAACCCTTCGATTGTTTTACAATCCCTCCCCCCAGGTCCACTCCACTATGCAGCCTTTGCTCTGAACTCCTGTCATGACAAAAATACCTAATTACATACCCTTTTAAACAGTTTTCTCCCTCATCTCTTTCAATGCAGTATACATTATTGAACCTGTCTTTCTCAGTCTCCCCCCACCCCCAAACCCGAAGTCAGTCCTGTTTTTTTGTTTGTTTGTTTGTTTGTTTGTTTTTTCTTTTTTTTTTTTCAGTCCTGTTTTACAACAGTGGCACTATGTAGTATTTGTCCTTTTGTGACTGAGATATTTCACTCAGCATATTGTCCTCCAGGGTCACCCATTTTGAATAATATTGCATGAGTTCCTTAGTTTTCAAGGCAGAGTAGTATTCCATTGTGTGAATATACCACAGCTTCTCTATCCATTCGTTTGTTGATGGGCATTGTTTCCACCAACTCCTTATGAACAATGCCTCAATAAATATGGGTGTGCATATATCTGCTTAGATGTCAGTTATGGTCTCTTTATGGTATATTCCCAGTAGTGGAATTGCTGGGTCAAATGGTATCTCTGTTTGCAACTTTTTGAGAAAGCACCATACCGCCCTCCACGGTGGTTGCACCATTTTACACTTCCACCAACAGTGAATAAGGGTTCCAGTTTCTCCACAACTTCACCAGCATTTGTTGCTTGCTGTTCTGTTAAATTTTGCTATTCTGGCTGGGGTGAGATAATATCTCATAGTTGTTTTGATTTGCATCTCTCTTAGAGCTAGGGATTTTGAACATTTCTTCATGTGCTTGTTAGCCATCTGAATATCTTCTTTGGTGAAGTGTCTGTTCATATCCTGTGCCCATTTTTCAATTGGATTATTTATCTTGTTGCGGTGCTCAAGTATTTT